GCATCGTGATGACCATGGGGACATGGGGACCATGAGGACCACAGGGATACAAGCATCGTGATGACCATGGGGACATGGGGACCATGAGGACCATGGGGGTACAGGCATCGTGATGACCATGGGGACATGGGGACCACGGAGACATGGTGGGGCACATGGGGACCATGGGGATACAGGCACTGTGATGACCATGAAGACGTAGGGACCACGGAGACATGGTGGGACAGGTGGGGACTGTGGGGATACAGGCACCGCAAGGACATGGGGAACAGGGGGGTGTGGGGGGGACAAGGTGGGGACAGGCCCACCTCACCTTGCCCTGCAGGTGCAGGTTGTTGTTGAGGAACTCCCGCACCTCCTCATCCGTGTCCTTCTGCAGGGGGGGGACACAGGACAGGGCCATGTCAGGGGCTGTCCCCAACCCCAGGGGCTGTCCCCACTGTGGGGGGCTGTCCCCAGTCCCAGGGGCTGTCCCCACTGTGGGGGGCTGTCCCCAGTCCCAGGGGCTGTCCCCAACACCCCCACCCACCAGGGCATAGCGGCTCTTGGCCAGGCTGATGAGCTCCTGGTCAGTGGGTGAGCACATGTTGAGGCCGATGGGCAGCATCTTCTTCAGGGTAGCGACGATGAGGGAGGTGTGGATGGAGTACCGGTCCCCGCGACGCTTCTTCTTCGTCCGCTCCTGCTCTGAGCCACCCCCCTGCGGGAACAGGGACGGGGACATCAGGGCCACCACCCCAGGCCAAGTGGTTTGGGGGGGGGGGTCAGGGACAGGAGTCCCATGTCATGGGGACATCAGCGGCGGGACCCCCATGCCATAAGGATGAGGGACATCAGTGGTAGGACCCCCATGACACAGAGATGGGGACATCAGTGTCCCCCCTAAGGATGGGGACATCAGCACAAGGGTCCCTGTGCCATGGGGACACCTCAGGGCCAGGACCCTGTGCCACCAGGATGGGGATATCAGTGTTGGGACCCCCATGGTACAGGGATGGGGACATCAGCACCAAGACCCCTGTATAATGGGGACTGGGGACATCAGGGCCAGGACCCTGGTGCCACACAGCTCCAGTAGCCCCTGAGGTCCCAGACGTGGCTCTGTGGGACAGGACCCCAGGATGTCCATGGGGGTCCCAACCATGGTGGCCCCATAGAACATGATCCTGGATGGGTTCTGGGGGTCCCAACCATGGTGGCCCCATAAAGCAGGACCCTGGAGGGGTCCTGGGGGTCCCAGCTGTGGTGGCCCTGAGGGGCAGGACCCCAGGGCAGGGGCTGGGGTCCCTGGGGTCCCCTCCCCATGCAGCATGGCCCCGCTAACCTGGCCATCTCCGGACTAGGTGCCAGCACCCGCAGCCAAGGGCAGGAGAGAAGAGACAGCGTTAGGTACCTGTCCCCATGTCCCTGGGGGCAGACGTGGGGGGCTTGGGGACCCAGGGGGATGGGGAGGGATGGAGACCCCTGGGTAGGGGAGGTTGGGGGGCAGCAGAGGGGGTTGGGAGGCAGCAGGTGGGGCAGGAGGGATGGAGGTGCCTGAGTTTGGGGGGGATTGGGGTGGGCTGAGGGTAGATTGGGAGGGTGTGCGGGTACCAGGTGGGGCAGGAGGGATGGAGGTGCCCGGGTTTGGGGGGGGCTTTGGGGAGAGTTGGATGTCCCAGGTGGGTTTGGGGGTCGTTTGAGGGTACCAGGTGGGTTGGGAGGGATGGAGGTGCCTGGGTTTGGGGTCACTGGGTGGGTTTTAGGATGTTTTAGGGGTACCAGGGGTGTTGGGAGGGATGGAGGTGCCTGGGCTTGGTTGGGTTTGGGGGTACCAGGTGGGTTTGGGGGTACCAAGGGTGTGGGGGTACCAGGGAATTTGGGAGGGATGGAGACCCCTGGACAAGGGGGGGACTGGGGGTACCAGGCAGACTTGGGGAGGGATGGACAACCCCCATGCATGGGATTGGGGTGCCAGGTGGGTGGGGGCGCAGGATGAGGGGGTCTGGGGGTGGCAGGCAGGAGGTCAGGGTGCAGCTGGGGGGGTGCGGCCGGGCAGGTGCATTCCCCCACACACACCTTGGCCATCTTGCTTTTGCTGTCGGCAGTGAGGAAGGACATGTTGTTGATCTCATTCTGCACCACGAAGTTCTGCTCCTCTCGCTTGAAGTTCTGCCGGGGGGGAGGACATGGGGCTGAGTGACCCCCAGCCTGGGACCCCCTCCAGGTCCCCTGGATCCCCCAACCCCCAGCCCTTCCATTGCACCAGTGTCCCCATGTCCCCCATGTCCCCAGTGCCCCCCAACTCACGTGGGACTTGGACCAGTAGATGAAGACCTCCCCAACCATGCGGAACAGCTCCTCTGCATCCTCGTTGGGCTCTGTCAGCCACTTGGCCCTGTCGGTCCCATGGCCAGCATCAGTGGGTCCCCATGGCCACCATCAGGGGATGTCCATGGCCACCATCAGTGGGTCCCCATGGCCACCATCAGTAAGTCCCCATGGCCACCATCAGGGGATGTCCATGGCCACCATCAGTAAGTCCCCACAGCCACCGTCAGGGGGATGTCCATGGCCCCTAATTTTTCCCCCACACCTTCTGGGCTCCACCATGGGTTGACCATGGTTCCCAAGGGATGCTCTTCAGCACCCTTATGTCCCCATGGCCATGTCCCCTGTCCCCCCTCACCGGCTGTTGTCCACGTAGCGGATGAGCAGGGGGTAAAGTGCATAGAGGTCACGGCAGAGGACGGAGAACTCATCCCGGATGAGCAGCTCGGCATCCTCCCCCTCCGTCTTGGCCTCCATGCGGAGCTGCTCCTCCTCGGCCACCACCTTGCCCGCCCGCTTCTTCAGCTTCTCCATCGTGGGGATGAAGTGGGAGCGCAGCAGCTCTGGCTTTGCCTTGCTGACGATGGGCTGGGCGAACACTGCGGGGACAGGGGGCTGCAACTGGGGGCTGCACCCGGGGCCAGCTGCACCTCCCTGGGACCACCCATGGCCATGAGCACCGTCCTGGGACCCAACAAGAGCCACCAGCACCATCCTTGGGACACCAGCATCATCTGTGGGATCACCCATGGCCACCAGCGCCATCCCTGGGACCATCCATGGCCACCAGCACCTCTCTGGGACCACCCATGGCCACTAGCACCATTCTTGGGACACCAGCATCATCTGTGGGATCACCCATGGTTACCAGTGCCATCCTTGGGACCACCCAGAGCCACCAACATCATCTCAAGACCCTGCCCAGGGCCACCAACACCTCCCTGGCACACACCCAGGGCCACCAGTACCATCCTTGGGACCTGCCCAGGGCCACGAGCCCCATCCTGGGACCACTTAGGGCCACCAGCCCCCATCCACCCCCTTTCACCCACCTGCCAGGCGCTTCATCCAGGAGGCTTCGTCAATGCCCAGGTTGTTGACCACAATGCGAAGGATGTTTCCCAGGAGGGCGTTGAGGTGCTGGCCGGTGACAGCGGTGGCCCAGGGTCCCTGGGGCAGGGTGTCGGGGCCGCGCTCCCACCATCGGGGCAGGTAGTTGCAGAGCATGGGGAGGGTCACCTCGATGACATGGGGCATCTCAGTGTAGCGGGCCCCCGACTCCGCCAGCCCCCCGATGTCCCGCATCAGCCGCTCCAGGTCGGGGATGTCGGGGCACATCTCCTCCACCCGGCTGGGGAGCCCCAGGACTGCGGGGACACGGGGATGGCAACGGCGGGGGACACGGACCCCTCGGCGAGGGGATGGGGGACCCCCAAAACAGGAAGAACTTGGGGGAGGGGGGCAATGGGGATGCGGCACTGCCCCAAAGGTGGGGGCGAGTGAGGAGACTTGGGAACAAAGGGGGGTATGCCGGTGTTGGGGTGCATCAGGATACCCCAAAGCTGGGGAGATTTGGGGGTGTCAGGAGGTCCAGGAGCTGGTGAGGACAAGTGAGAGGGACAACAGAGATGTGGGGGGGACCCCAAAGTGGGAATGAGAGGGACGTTGGAGATGTGGGGGTGCCCCAAACCTCGGGCCCTTGGGCGGGGCATCAGTGTACCCCAAAGGTGGAGGTAAGAGGGACCACGGGGCACCCTAAAGCTGGAGCAATTGCGGAGGGCACTGGGGGTGCCCCGAAGGGGGGGAGAGCAACCAGGGCTCATCCCAGAGGGGTGTGACAGGACAGCCCCTGGAACATGGGGACACTCCGGGGAGGGGGGAGACACAGGGGGACCCTGCCCCACTCACTGGCCCTTTCGCGGGGCGACTTGGTGCTGTAGACGGAGCAGGGGTTGAACTCGTTGAGCTGCGGCTCCAGGAAAGCCACAGGCATGGCGGCGGCCAGGCGGGCCAGGCACTCCCCCAGCGCCGGGCGCTGCCTGCGGGTACAGGGGTACGGGCTCACACCCACCCCGCAGCACCCCACGGGCACCAGTATCCCACAGGCATCCCACAGTCTTCAGGGACTGGGGTACCAGAGGCACAGGCACCCCACAGGGACCCCAGATCCACGGGCACCCCACGGGCCACCCCATGGGCACCCCAGATCCATGGGCACCCCAGATCCATGGGCACCCCACAGGCCACCCCATGGGCACCCCAGATCCACGGGCACCCCACAGCCACGGGCGCACCCCAAAAGCACCCCCAGGTCTGCAGGCAGAGGGGTTTTGGGGGGACGTGGCCCCTCCAGCCCCGCACCTCTCCACGTAGGGGTTCCTGGTGGTGCCCAGCGAGTAGATGCTGCACAGGATGCGGTAGCAGGAGACCTGGACGTCGTCGACTGCGGGGACAGGGGACGGTCAGGGCTGGGGTGTCCCCAACACCCAGGGGGTCCCTGTGCCCCCAAACTGCCCCAGCACCCCCAGCTGGCCCCGGTCCCCCTGTCCCCACTACGTCCTCTTGTCCCCAAAGTGCCCCCCAGTCCCCAGAGTCTCCCATCTCCACCACCTTCCCATCACCAATGTGCCGTCCTGTCCCTAAACTGTCCCCAAAGTGTCCCCTTGTCCCCAAAGTGTCCCACATCCCTGCTGACCCCCCAGTCTCCAACATGCCCCCGTGTCCCATGTCCCTGCTGAGCCTCCTGTCCCCAACATCTCCCCATGTCCTACATCCCTGCTGAGTCCCCTGTCCCCAATGTGTCCCTCCGTCCCCATGGTGTCCCCCCTGTCCCCACAGGCTCACGGATGACGTCGTCCCCAAAGTTATGCTGCGCCACGTGCTCGAAGAGGGAGGTGAGGACGGGCAGGAGGGCCACCGTGGTGTAGTTGATGTTTTGGGCCACCCCCTTCACCTGCGTGCGGCTCTGCGTCACCTTCCCCAGCTTGAGGTTCTCCACCATCTTCTCGATGTCCTCGGAGGCGCTCTCGAAGAAGGACCGCAGCCCTGCTTTGACGATCTCGGGGCCCGACTTCATGACCGTCCTGGGGGGGGGAGTGATGGGACGCTCAGCACCGGCATGGCCACCCCCCTGGGGACACGCGTGGGCAGTGTTGGGGACACGGCTGCTGTCCCAGCAGTGCTGGGATGAGGGTGGCATTGGGTACTGGGGGACAGGAATGGGTATGGGGGCACTGTGGGGACAGGGGGGACTGTGGGGACAAAGATAGCATCAGGGTGGCACCAGGACACAGTGGGGACAGGGATGGTGGCACTGGGACACAGTGGGGATGGTGGGGACAAGGAGAGCACCGTGGTGGCACTGGGACACAGTGGGGATGGTGGGGACAAGGACAGCACCGTGGTGGCACCGGGACCCCATCCCACCTGGCATCCAGGGAGCGGGCGAGGATGTGCAGGCAGTTCACCACGGCCGGTGCATCGGTCCCTGGGGATGGGGACAGGGAGGGGGGGCTCAGGTGCCACCGGGGCACCGCCCGCTCCCCCTGCACACACACACCCCCCACTGTGGGGGTCCCTGGCCACGTCCCCTTACCAAAGAGCGAGACGCGGTGGCGGACGAGTGCGGCCAGCTTGCAGAAGAGGCTGATGGGGGATGGGGGATGGAGGGGTCAGTGGGCGTCCCAAAGACCCCCAGCGAGGGGACAGTGTAGACCCCACGTCCCCTCGGCCAGGGGATGGGGCACAGGGGGACCCCCCTGAGCCCCCCAAGAGTGGGGGTGGGTGGGATGGGGCATCCCCATTGCCCAAGGGGCTGGGGGTCCAGGGGTGCCCCCACCTGGTGATCATCTCCTTCTCCTTGTTGGAAGCGTGCCCACCACTGCCCAGCACCTTGGCTGGGGTGGAGAGGAAGTAGAGGCAGTGGTTGTGGAAATACTGGTTGATGAGGGGCAGCAGGATCTGGGGGGGATAGGTAGGGGTCAGGGGGGACTTTCCCCCCCTAAGGAATGCACCCCCCCAAGCACCCCATAAGGGACCCCAATGCATACCCCCAAATACCCCATAGGGACCTCTAAGGAACAGCTCAACACCCTATGGGGACCCCAAGGACCTTTTAGGGGGACCCCTAGGACCCCCACACCATATGCACCCCATAGGGACATGAAATACCCCATAGAGACCCCAAACACCCTATGGGGACCCCTAAAAGGGGGCCCCAAGCACCTGCATACCATATGCACCCCACAGAGACCCCGAACACGCAGTAAGGGACCCCAAACAGCCCATGGGGACCCCAAACACCCCATACAAACCCCAAACACCCTATAGAAGACCCCAAACACCCCACTGCCCATCTCCCTGGGGTGGGGGGGCTAATGGGGTTTCTGTGCCAAAGCCACCCTATCCTCCAGACACCTGGGCCCCCCCATTTTGGGTTCCTCCCCCCCACACTTTGGGGTCCCTCTGACCTTGGCGAAGAACTTGATCTCCTGTTCATGGGGGGATTTCTCCACCCGCCCGCTGCTCACCACCGCCTCTGGAGGGGGGCAGACAGTCAGGGAGGGGACACACGGCGGGGGGACATGGGGACAAGCAGGTGGGGGGTCCCAGGGAACCCTGAGAGGTCTGGGGCAGCACTGGGCAGGGGGGTCCAGGGATGCCAGGGGCCCCTCGGGGGGGGGGGCTCTCAAGGGGTTCAAGAGGGTCTTAAGGAAGTCCAAGGGGGTCTCAAGGGGTTTGAGAGGGTCTTAAATAGGTCCAAGGTGGTCTCAAGGTGGTTTCAAGGGGGTCTCAAGGGGTTCAAGAGGGTATTAAAGAGGTCCAAGGGGGTCTCAAGGGGTCCGAGGGGGTCTCAAAGAGGTCTAAGGGGGTCTCAGGAGAGGACCAGAAAGGTCCCAGGAGGCTCGGGGAGGAGGGGTTCCCAAGGGATTTGGGGGGTCCTGGGGCCGTACCCAGGTGGGCGATAAACTCCTGGGAGATGTCCATCCACTTGAGCAGCTGCTGCAGGAAGCCGTAGGCGAAGCGCTTCTCGATGGAGGACGTGTCCAGCTCCATGTCCTTCAACCCCCTGTGGCAGAGGGGGTCAGGGGGGGCCTCACACCCCCAATTCCCCATCCTACCCACCCCCACAACCGGGGGGAGAGAGGGGGGCAGCAGCGCACCCCCAGACCGCCCACATCCCGCGCCCCAAAACACCACCCTCATGTCTGCACCCCAAGCCCCACTGTGTGCCCC